CTTGTAAGGCTTGTCTAGTAGTGGTGAACTTCAATTTTTGCTTGTCTGGAAACCTTTATATCTCTCCTTCAATTCTGAAGGACAGCTTAGCCAGGTAGAGTATTCTTAGTTGGTAATTTTTTTTTTACACTGAGTTTATTGTGCTATTCCTCTCTTGCCTGTAAAGTTGCGGCTGAAAAATCTGTAGTTTTATGGGCATTCCCTTATACATAACAAGTTTTTTCTCTTGTTTTTAAGATTCTCTCCTAGTCTTTAACTTTTGACATGTTAATTATAATGCGTCAGTGTCTCTTTGGATTTATCTTATTTGTAACTCTCTGGACTTTCTGGATCTGCATGTCTGTTTTCTTCCCCATGTTAGGGAAGTTTTCAGCCATTATTTCTTCATATAAATTTTCTCCCCCTTATGTCTCTCTTCGGCTTCTGGGACCCCTGTTCTGCACATAGTGATCTGCACGATGTTGTCCTGTTAGTCCATTAAGCAATCTTCACTCTTCTTCCTTTTTGCTCTTCTGATCGGATGAATTTCACTGTACTGTCTTTGAGTTTGCTGATCCTTCTGTCTGCTGTTGACCCCTCTGTGTTATTCAGTTTAGTTTTTGTGTTTTTTCAGTGTGTGGCATTTTCTTATATTTTCTCTCCGTTGAAATTCTCATTTTGTTCATGAATCGTTCTCCTGACCTTAGTGAGCATCTTTATGATAATTATTTTGACTCTATCAGGTGAATGACTAATCTCCATTTCATTAAAGTTTTTCTTGGGATTTATCTTGTTTTTGTTTGTAATGTATTGCTGTTTTTCATTTTCTTTGATTCCTTTTGTTGGTTTTATGTACTAATCAGTTACTTCTTCCATTATTGAAGGAGTGGCCTTGTGTAGGTGATGAACCTTATCATTCAACCCTGTCATAAAATTGTTTCTCTCAAATCTTTGTCTAAGCAGCCTTCTTTGTCTTAGTGACTTCCAGTAGTGGAGGGTGTGCAAGACATATCAGAATCCCAAAGTAGAGGATCTTAGTACCTAGATGCAGGCTGATTGGAACCAGGACCCTCAGGCAGCAGTCTTTGAAGTATGCAAATATCTCTTGTCAGGGAAAGCTAGGGGAAATAGGCATTTCTGTCTCCTCCCTCTGTACTAAGTCCTGGTGTGATAGCCAGTTAAGAACTGTTTCCTTTCTTGCTACTATCCTGTTGAACCTGTGAACACAAGCCGACTGGTTACTAGAGCCAAGCATATCCAGAGATGTGTCCTCATGGCAGCAGCCACAAAAGGCATGGCACCAGACGTGCACAAGCTTCATGCACAGAGACACTGGTGACCTGTGGTGGGGCCGTGGGAGAGTGCCAAGATGGCAGTTGCCAGCCTCTCTGGTCTCTGCATTGCAGTTAGCCCCTGGATCTGTGTTAAATTAGAAGCCTGCTCCTCAAGCTGTAGCTTTTAAGAGCTGCAAATGGGTCTCTTTTCATAGAATTAAAAGGTGTTGCAGTCTGCTATCTGTTCTGGGCCCTGGGGGAATAGCCACAGTGAATTCATACAAACCTGTTAAAAACTATTTCTTACTTCACTATATCCTTGTGGGTCTCATGGATGCAAGCCCTGCTGGCTTTAAGAGTTAGATGTTTGGGGGCTTACTCTCTCAGGGAGAAGTTGGGAGCTGTGAGTTCCTTCTGGTTGTATGTTGCCGGGTTGGGGTTTATGGCAAGACTCAATTTTTCTTACCTGTTTTGATGGCAGTTGTTTTTTTTTTCTCATTTGCCCAATATGTAGGAGTTGCTCAGCTATTTCAATTTTTCTTACCTGTTTTGATGGCAGTTTTTTTTTTTTTTCTCTCATTTGCCCAATATGTAGGAGTTGCTCAGCTAGTTTCTAGATTTCTTTCACAGGGAATTGTTCCATATGTAGTTGTAGATTCAGTGTGTCTGTGGGAAGAGGGGAGCTCAGTCGCCTCCTATGTTGCCATCTTGAACTGGAATCTTCTCACACTTCTGTGTGAAATGTATTTCTAGTTTCCTCAAGAAACAAGAGTTTATGAGAAGCATTAGATTGTTACCGTAAATATTTCATATTATACCCTAATGAAATATTCTGAAATTATACATAAATTTATAAGTGTAAAATTATGTAAATTTTCAAAATATAAGAAAAATGAAATGTTGTAAAAGGCTTATGTATACACTACCCACATTTAACAGTCTTTTAAAAAGTAAGTAAAATGGTAAAAATACAGCTAAAACCTTATCCAAGTCTTTCTTCCCTTCCTTGTCCTTAGAAGTAATTAGTATCCTGATTTTGGTATGTGTATTTCCGTGCTTATTTTTATATATTTGGCATGTATTTATATATTTATATTTGTAAATAATAAATATATATTTTCTATTTTTAAATCTATACTACAAATGTTCATACTGTTTATAAATTTCCTGAGATTTTCCCTTTGTTGGCCTTTTTCAATAATTTTACTGATATGTCTTGGCATGGCCTCATTTTGTATTTATCTTGCTTGGAGCTTGCTAAGCTTTTTGAACATGTACTTTTATTTTTCAGATACTCAGTTTTCAAATTTTTTTTCTGCCTCATTCTCTTCTGGGATTTTATTAAAACCAATGGTAGATGTTTTGGCATTGTACCGCGAATCATTGTTTTAAGTTCAGTTTTAATAGTTTTTCAGATTGGATAATTTTTAATTATCTGATAATTTTTTTAAAAATTATTATTTATGCCTACAGCAGGTGGTCTTCCTAGGTGGTCTCCCATCCAAGTACTAACCAGGCCCGACTCTGTTAGCTTACGAGATCAGATATCGGGCTTGTTCAGGGCGGCATGGCCGTAGACCATGGACCGTGGCTCCAATGAGGTGCGAACTCAGGACCTTCTGCGTGTAAAGCAGATGTGCTAACTGCTACACTATGGAACCACGTCCTTATTGAACCTGTCTTCTTTTAACTTTAATATGCTATTAAGCCCATTCGGTGAATTTTGTTTTAAATTCTGGATATTGAAGTTTAGAGTTCTAGAGCCTGCATTTGATTCTTAGTTTCTCAGGGGAGATTTTTCATCTATGCATTCATTATGACCATATTTTCTTTTACATATTTATAGTAGCAGCTTTAAAATCTTTAGGGCAATAGTTCTTAGCCTGGCACAATTTTGCCTGCTACGGAACATTTGGCAATGTTTGGAGACATTTTTGATTAGCAATACTGAGTGGGGGTGGGTTGCTACTGGCATCTAGTGGCTAGAGAGACCAGAGATGCTGCTAAACATCCTACAGTGCACCCCACTACAAAGTATTATCTAAATTGTCTGATTTGTTAACAGTGGCAAGGTTTAAGAAACCTTGCCCTGTGGCATATACTTAGAAGTGAGATTGATAAAACTTAGAGTGTGTGCAGTTTTTTTACTGTTATTATATGGAATGGATATCTGTAAAACAAGAATATTTCCAGCACAGGTAAAGGTTTGAAATGTCTGGAATTAAAGTTTCCAGCAGTTGTAAGCAATTTATCTTAAACCACAGATGAAGTAGCAGAATTATGTAGAGTTAATGAATTCATTCACTTACCCACAAACTGAAATACAGTGGTACTTCCTGCCCGATTAAAAGATTGATTTTAGAGTCAGAGTCAAGTTGCTTCAAAAAAGTGTCACTTGTGCAAAAGAATGGAAGTTGGAATATTAAGCTGAAGATGCTGATTGAGAGAAAAATCACAGCATGAAAAATGTATTTTTTCATTACAAGGATGGTTGTTAAATGTTGAAGGTTCAAAGGTTTGAAAAGTATTTTTTCTCTAGTGTGATCCACATTAGTTTTTAAATTGAAGATGGGGGATGAACTTAGTCAACTTTGAGACCCATTGTAAGACCTTTTTTAAAAATCCAATGAAAGTGATGGCCTCAGAACAGTGTGCATGTCCATACGATTTGCATGTGATTTTTGCGTGGTTTACACATGTTCCTAAAGCCTCTCCAAGGACCACTTTCACCCCTGTTTTCCAGTTTAAGAACTTTGCTAAAAGTCTATTAATCTCTTAAAATGCTACAAATATTTGAAATGATCACTGACTAGTAAAGACACAGCTATAGAATGTTTTGTATCTTTTTCACTAAAGGCAGAAGACTCAGTGATGGAGAAAAATAAATGATGTGGAATTAGAATCTTTTAAGTCTGCCGACATTAAATAAGTACAGATCTTAATTTTATATCTATAACTTTTCTTTTTCCTAGGTTTATGCAGCAGTGCTCTGGCAACAAGCTAATGAAAATAGACAAAACTCGACTGAAAAAGCATGTTTTGGAACTGCCCTACCAGCAGAAAGACTTGATGACTTCCGTGATGAACAAATTGGACAGCTGCAGGAGCTGATGCAAGAAGCCACAAAACCTAATCGGCAATTTAGTATCACTGAGTCTAGAAAACCAAAATTTTAGTCTGTACGATAGAGCTTAACAAAGCATTTAAAGTCCAGAGCCCCTTGTTTTAATGCCTGGTATTAATGAAATATATATCAGGATCACTAGTAGATGGAACTTTACATTACCGAAGTAATAGTACTTAATGGAAGGGATTTGATTTTTGGATTAAACAAGGAAGAATGGCTCTAAAATAGACAAACTTGTGGAATTTTGCCAGAACCTTTTTTAATATATAAATGTTTTTAATGCTGTACTTGTTCAAGCATTAGCCTCACAGTTTTAGCTTCATCAGATAAATATATCATGTGATAGATGTGAAATTTCAACAAGGTTATTTAAATACATTGTTATACTGAAAGTTTCATTTCTACAGCGTTAATAACAAATGGCCCCTTATATGGTCTGTAGTTAAATAATTTGTGGTTATCTTGAGAGTCTCTTTTATTGCTTAATGGTTAGGGAGATAAAAACACTCAAATTTTTTTTATACTTAAGTTGATTTCTAAAGTGGATAAATTAAATGGTAATCCCATTCGCATCCCAAAATGTTTATGAATTTAAAAATATATTACTAAAACAACTTGTATTTTTATTTGTGGATATTTACTCTGAGATCTCTGAAGTGATCATTTTTCAGGAATACGTTGCATTTATATCAGATTTTTTTCTCCCAGTTTTATTGAGAAATAATTGACACATATTACTGTAGAAGTTTAAGGTGTACAGCATGATAGGTCAGCTCTTTAAAAATTGATTTGTATTTGCTCCTGTGAGGCTTAATAGTATTAACTATTCTTAACCGCTTTTCTACCACTCTTGCTTGTTTTGTATACTGCCCAACTCTCCTTTAGGCTATAACTTTTTTCTGGTTTTTCAGAGTTCTTACTTTGCACATCAAATATTAGCTATACTCTTAAATCTATAACACCAACCTAAATCTTATTTCAGAACTTCAGAATTCTGAAATTCTATTTGGCATTTCTGACGCACTTAAAATAAAACTTACTCTTCCTCTTCAATGAGTGAACAATATTAACATATACCCCGTTCACCAGTTAAGAATTCTATAATTCAGCGTAAATGTCATTTCTTAAGAGATGTCTTTCTCAGTATTCAGCAATTCTGACAATTCCACGTGGTTGATTGCAAAAATGTCGTTCTCTACTGTTTGTGGTACCCCTGCCCTTTGCAATGTGACTTTGCAGGTCCTCCCATCAAGAATTCCATCTATTTTCCAATTCTTCAAACCTGGACTGGCCTTGATTCTTTCAAAAGAATGTGGGTAGTAACATGTAAACTTGGAGTCTAAGCCTCAGAACCTTGTACACTTTCCCCTGTGCTATTGGAAACCAAGCCAGCTGCATATGAAAAAGCTCAGACCGGCCAACCAAAGGATGAGAGATCATATGGAGCAGAAGTAAACTAGCCTAGCTGAAGCCATCTAGACCAGCCAGCTCTCAGCCAACTGCAGATAAACGAATGACCCCAGCCTAAACTGCCAATCATAAACTAAATAAACGGCAGTTCTCTTAATTAACTAAGTTTCGTTGTGGTTTGTTACACAGTTAAAGCTGATACACACTACTGCTTTACTATCTCATAATGATTCCTTTGCTTATCTGATACTTTACATTTTTTTTTTTTCTGTAGTGTCTTCCTGTTATATGTCTTCGACAGACTCCTTAATACATTATGGCTGCAAATATCACCTTACTGATATGTAAGTGATCATAACATTTTCCTGCTGGAAATTTGGAGTGGGGGATATGTTTGGATTATACAGTTATAGTGAGAGCACAATTAGCATTTTAATTTTAGCATTATGGGTGGGGAGTGTTTGAGGGGAATCTGATACAACTGTTGGAAACAAATTGGCCATATGTATTAAGAACTTTAAATATAACTTTTTGGGTCCATTCTATTCTAGGATTCTTTCCTAAAGTGGGGAAAAATCAGAAATGTAGACAGTTTTTCATATATACATGTTATCAGAATTGGTTTTTAAGACTAAAAATTTTAGAATAACACAATTTCCCTAAATTCCAGAAAGGTTGTGAGTTGTGATAACATATAACCAAACAATTTAAATTTACATTTACAAAGTTTTTAATAACATGGGAAATTTGCTAACATTGATAAGCAAGAAAAGGATGCTACAAAATATAAATTTTCACAAAAATGTTAGATTTCCTTTTCAGTAATGTGGCAGACTATGTTACCCTGAGCAGTTCTCATGCTGAAAACTAAAACATTTAGGTAGAATATAAAAGCATTTTTGAGAAGTATCTAGGAATTGGCAGTATCCTAAGAGATTAATTTACAAGGCCAATATCTAAGTGAAACGGCCTGAGAGTGCATTTTAGTTTTGGTTTTAACTGTCCTTCCGAACACAGTAGTCAGAAGACAAAGCAGAGTCCATCTGAGGTGGCGAAAGCCAGCCCCTAAGGACTGCGCTACTAGGGTAAGAGAGAGCCAAGAGCAAACTTCCAGTATTTGTGCAGGGTTGCAGGCCACCCAAAATGCAAGTCATCTGAGTACTGGAACTTATTAATTTAGTGGCCCCAGAAGAGTGCCTGGCAGATGTAAAGAAATCTTTGGAGGAAGCTAGAGTCACAAGTACTTTTCCTAGGAAGTGAATGCCTAAAGTTTAAATAAACTGTACAAGGAAGACTAGCACCATGAATGAAAGGCAGCAAAGGCCACCAGAAAACAACTTCGGAATTAGCACATGCATAATATAAAACATATTTATATGTTGCAAAAAAGTCAAATTTAAAAATGCAAGAAACAAAGCATTATGAAAACTGACCTAGCATATTTGAAAAAGAACAAAATAGAAGTCTTAGAAAATGGAAAATAGAATACCTAAAATTAAATCAATACGTAGGTTGAACAGAAGATCAGATGGGCCTGAAAGAGAATTAATGCCTGCAAAATAGGATGGAAGAAATTATCCAGAATGTATGTAGCACAGAAAAGGAGCTTGAAAATATGAACGAGTGGGGGATAAAGCAATGAGTCTAATGTATAGCTAATAATAGTTTCAAATAGATAATGAGGAAGAAGCAATATTTGAAGAATTGCTGAGAATTTCCAAATCGATGAAAGACAGAAGTCTACAAATTTATCCCAAATGGGATAAATATGAAATCTTCACTTAGAAAAATCACACTGAAACAGTAGAATGCTAAAGACAACTTATAAAAGCAGCCAAAACAAAAGTCACATAACCTTCAAAGCAACATCAATGAGACCTTTCTTTAGCTAACTTTTCAACAGCAATTATGGAAGCCAGAAACCAGTTGTATGACCATCTCTAATGTGTGAGAGAAAAATAATTTCCAACTTAAAATTGTATACTCACCAAATATATTTCAAGAGTGATAGGAGTAAAGACAGTTTCTGATAACAAAACATGAGCAAGGTTGCCACCTGCAGGTTCTTACTAAAGGAAATTCTAAAGGATGTGCTGGCTATAGTAGGAAGTTGATGAAAACGGAACAAAGGATCAAAATGCTTGTAAAAATTCATCTAAAGGAACATTTACCATATAGAATGATAACGTTTCATGGTATTAAATAAAGGAGGGATTTAAAAATACACAAGAATAAGGATATAAGTTGGTAGAGTATTGCATGGAGTAAGTGCTGTAAGTGTGGATGGTCTGGGAAGAGAATGAAGATAACTGATTAAGTATAAATGTGATTTCTAGTGTATAACTCATTTCTAGATATTCGCTAAAATGGTGGTTATATAGAAATGAGTCTGTAACTTCCAAGCTAGTAGAAGGGAAAAATGAAATAGGAAAAAAAATCATTATAATGAAAGTAAAGGGAAAAAGAAACAAAGGAGAAGGATAAGTAGAAAAAATTGAGATAATAGATATAATCCAAATATATCAAATTAAATTTATCGTAAATGAACCAAGTTATCCAGTTAAAGGCGGATTGTTAAATGTTGAAAATGAAAGGAGTTACGTGCTGTTATAAGAGATCACACCTAAAGCATAAAATACAGAAAGTTTAGAAGTAAAATGATGCCAAAAGTTATACCAACCAAAAGCAAGCAGATATAGATATAGTGATATCTGAAAAAAGTTAAGGCAAAAACATTGCTACAGATAAAGTAATTTCATATAATGAAAGGTTCAATTCACTAGGAGGATCATTTTAAATTAGTACTGTGGAAGTGATTAAGCAGGAAGTTAACACAGTTCCAAATAACCCATATATCAATCAAGAAATCCTCATGGCTCCTAGAATATAAGTAGAACTGAAATACTTAATAAAATTAATGAATTTTAACTAAAACAGTAGTTGTGAGAAATTGATAGACAAATTTGTCTAGCAGAAAGGTTGGAATATTAATGAGAAGAGCATCTAAATATATTAGAAAAATAACATAATCTCAAAGGAAATAGAAGGAAATGAAGATTCGAGACTAAAAAAATCAAAAGTTTATTTTTGAAAAAAGCAGTGACAAACCTGGCAAAAGTTAATTAAGAAAAAACAGTAGTTGTGAGAAATTGATAGACAAATTTGTCTAGCAGAAAGGTTGGAATATTAATGAGAAGAGCATCTAAATATATTAGAAAAATAACATAATTTCAAAGGAAATAGAAGGAAATGAAGATTCGAGAATAAAAAAATCAAAAGTTTATTTTTGAAAAAAGACAGCAGTGACAAACCTGGCAAAAGTTAATTAAGAAAAAAAAAACAGGTACACATACCCAATATCAGGAGTGAAAAACCATTTCTGTTGTGACATTAAATATATTATGAACAACTTAAAGCCTGTAAATTTGTAACATTTAGAAGATATCCAGCTTATCAAAATAGACAAAAGAATGATTCTATAGCCATTAAAATAATTGAATCTGTATTTCTAGAAAGAAAATTCCAGGCCTAAACAACTTCTTTTGTGAGTATTGCCAAACAGTCAAGAAATAAATAATTTTAAACATAAGTCCTTCCAGTGAATAGAAAAAGAGGGAATAGAAAACGCATTAGTTACTCCCTAACATTTTATGAGATCAACAAATATACCTGATACCATATGATGGTATGAGAAAGGAAAATCACAGGCCAATTTAACTTTGGAACATAGACACAAAATCCTAAGCTAAGTAATTAGACAAATCCAGCAAAAGATGAATTATCACGACCTGGTCAGGTTTCTGCCAGGAATCTAAGCTGTTTTTACGTTAGAAAAACTGATCCATCACATAATCAAATTAAAGGAGATTTAATCATAATTATCTCATCAGGTGTTGAAAAGCATTTGCTAAACATCCAGTATCCAATCATTATAAAAATTCTCTTAACAAACTAGTTTAAAGGGCACTTCATTAACCTAATTAAAGGGGTTCTATCAAACATCTGCAGCGAACATAGTGATAGATACTTGAAAACTTTCACTTTGAGTCTGGGGAAAAGACAAGACTTGCTTTTCAAGTCAAAACTTTAGCCTCAGATAATAGTGTATATGTAGAAAATCGGACGGTATCTACAAGTTATTAGAATGAGAATTTAACAAAGTTTGTTACATGCAAAACTTGCTATAGAAAAATCAATTGCATTTTTACATAGCAGCAACAAACATGGAAATTTATAAAACTATCATTAAAATATCAACAAATATTAAATATTTTGAAAGCAGTTTCACAAAAGATGTTCAAAACTCTGGAGAATATTGTCAAATTTTACTTAAAGAAACCAAAGAAGACTTAAAGTGGTATTCCATGCTCAAAGACTGAGATTTAATGTTGTAAATATCTTTATACCCAAATGATTTGTAATTTTGATGCAGTCTTCATCAAAATTCCCGATGGTGTTGGGGTTTTTTTCGAGTAATTGACAAGCATATTTTAAAATGTATATGGAAGTGCAAAGGACCAAGAATAGCCAAGGCACTAAGAAGAGTGATGTAAATGACTTACCCTGTCTGCCAGATATCAGAAGATAACTATAGTTATTAAGGTAGTGTAGCATTTTGTTACATGGAGCCTGGTTATGTAGTCCTGCCCAGCAGTGGAGAAAGGACTACTTTTCAATAAATGGTTCTAGGACAGTTGGGTTTTTTTTGTGTGTAAAAAAACTTTGGTACCTAGAATTGGTTGTAGGTTTCTTAAAGATTGACATATTAAAGGGAAAATTACAACACAATACAATATATAAGAATATAATATAGAGAATATCTTCAAAATATTGGGGTAGGAAAGGATTTTTAAAATAAGACTCAAGCAGCTTTAACTTCAAAGGAAAAAAGTGAATAAATCTGAATATATTAACATGTTACCTCTTTCATCAAAAGCAGTAAAGTGTGCAAACACAAGCCTCAGATTATGAAGAGATAGTTGCACCACAAATAATGGCTAAAGAAATAGTACAGTCATCCCTTGGTATCCATGGGGATTAGTTCCAGATCCCCCTGTGGATACCAAAATCCATGGATGCTCAAGTCCCTTATATAAAATGGTGTAATATTTGCATATTACCTACACACATCTTTACTTTAAATCATCTCTAGATTGCTTATAATACCTAATAAAATATAAATGCTAGATAAATAATTATACTGTTTAGAGAATAATGCCAAGAAATAAAAAGTCTGTGTATATTCAGTACAGACAAAATCATTGTAGGCCTAACTACAATAGTATACATCAGCAACAACGTAAGTTTTTTCTCCCTAATATTTTTGATCTGCAATTGGTTGAACCTGAGGATGCAGAACCTACAGATATGAAGGGCTGACTGTATTCAGAACATCTAAAGCACACCGATATGTCAATGAGAAAGACATACAATCCAATAGAAAATAGGCAAAAAACTTGAATTTACATGGTCAGTAAACATAAAAAATCTTTGGACTCCTTTGTAATAGAGAAACACAAATTTAAATTAATGAAATTGCATTATACAACTTCTGAATTGGCTAACATAAGGAAGTTGATGACAGCAAGTGTTGACAAAATAGGAGGTAATGGAAACCCTTATCCTGCTAGTTGGGGTAAAATTAGTAAAACCTCTTTGGAAAACAGTTTGACATTCTTTAACAAATTTGAAGATGTTTATGCTCTATAATACTGTTGCATTATGATGCGGTAGTTGAGTACAGATTCTACTGCCAACATTTAACATCGTGGATAGGTTCTGTGACTTTAAGCAGAATGACATATAATGAAACCAATTTTACCATAGGCTAATGGATATAAACATGAGTTAAGTTCCTATGGCATCTCATCAACATTGTTACAAAACAATATTGAATGAAATGAAGTTATTCAAGGACCTGCTGTACATGGGTTTGAATCCCATCTTTCTAATTCTATGACCTTAAGCATTTGACTTTATACATAAAAAAGTAAGATTTAACCACCCCCCACGCTCCGTAAGAACCAATTTTTGCCTTCACAGGATTTTTGTGAGGATTAAATGAGTTAAGCTTTATGAAATGTTGGGAATATTACCCTGAACATAATAAACAGTATAAAGTGTTTGCTATCATTGTTACTGCTATTATTGTTATTAATTTACATTACAACCTACAAAAGTACTTCTACATGTGTACACTAGATAATCTTACGTACTCATGGAGGATTAGAACACTAAACAAGAATGTTCATCTAAGAATTATTCTAGCAGCCCCAAGCCTGAAACAATCCTACTGTTCCCCAACACTAGAATGGATAAAAAAGTTACGGCACATGAAACTGAATGAACTACAGCTTCTTGTAACTATAATACTGATTGAAAGAAGGAAGTCACATACAAATACATACAGTATGAATCTATCTGTATGAAGTTCAGATACAGGCAAAACGAAACAGTATTGTAAGGGATGCAGATATTAGTGGTAAACCTACGAAGAGAAGGAAATGACAGCAATTAGGAGGATGTTTCCCTCCAGGGGAGTGACTAAGGTTGTGATTGGGAATAGACACAGGAGAGACTTCTGGGGTCTTGGGTGGCAATGCTTTATATTTTGACTGAGTGATAGTTATATTAATGTTTATCATTACTCTTGGCCCCTCTCCCCCACCATGGCAGATTGGGCCTTATTAAAGAAGAACACTTCACTATTGAATATGATGTTGGATTTTAAAAATGCGGATTACTGGGTACCCACCCTGAAGATTCAATCAAGTAGGAAAATAATTATTTTAATTTAGGTTCCGCCACAGGTTTTCTTTCATTTAGCATAATTGGCTCCCTTCTTGCAGCACAATCCATTTCTTCACAACGCTTCATGAACTCGTTCAACAGGTAATATAAGAACACACTTGTTTGAGAGGGAAAATAAAGATAATACTTTTGTGTTTTCACTTGTTGCTTTATTTTTTATAACAGTATATAACACTCTTTACTTTCTAGATTTGGCACCATTTTACATAATGTTTCAAAAAAAAACTTGGTTTTGCAGTGAACAACACTTGAAGGTTGTTTGCATTTTCTCTTTGGCCTCTAATTTATTCTTTTGGTAAGAGATCTGATAGAGGAAAAGACTAGAGGACCTTTGTAATGTCAGTTAGATTCACATAAAATCATTACATTTGAAGAGGCTGGTAAATTTAAAAGTCTAACCACATGTTTCATCCTTTCATTTTCAGAATTTATTTGCTCAAGAAATGCATCTTGACTCAAGATGAGTGAATTTGAAACCCAAATGTACTTATTCCAACTAGTTTAGTGTTCTGGATTATCTCTGAGTTTACTAGAACCATGCAGAAATGCCAGGCTCAATTAGCAATTATTAATAGGCTTCAATAAATGATTATTGTTATACAAACTATAAGATTAATTTGTGCTATTTGAGGAGAGAAATCATAGAGTTCAATGCTAGATACCTGCAATAGTACACCCCTTTTCAGAGCTTCAAATCATCACAGTGCAAAAATTGATTAGAGCTGAATGTTGAATAATTGTTGCTAAGCAACTTTAAAGAATGACAATCTGCATAGTAATGACACAGCTAGTGAATACTGCCGCTCACATTAGATGAGTGAAAAGAGAACCAAGCACCAGGGTAAAATTTTAAATTTAAAACATATATCAAATGAACTTGTAAGACAAGCTCACTCAAAAGCAATTTGATTTTAAAATATGATTAAACAAAAAGATTATGGTAAAAACATTTGAATGAACTGGATTTGAATTACTCGATATTTTAAACCAACTTTTCTAAATTTAGAAGGAGAATTTTATCTCAAAGCTTAGCTTTAGGAAATATGTTAGGGGCACCTTCTGACTTCCAGAGTCAAAGAGACCTCACATCATTTATTCCATTGCCCCAATCTGTCTTCCTTTAGAGAATGCAAGTTCTATAGGGGTAGGAATTTTGTCTTGTTCACTGATGTTTTGTCACTACTTAGAACAGTGTCAGCCACATTGCAACAACTCTGTAAATATTTGTCAAATAAAATAATATGTAAAATAGTGTATCAATCAGGGCCTACTCTGGAGACAGCAACCACCATTAATTTGAATATAACAAGTTTAATATAAAAAAAAGTATAAATAGAATAGGGAAGTAACTTTGGAGATAGAAACAGAACTCTAAATGATACCCTAGGGCTGAGAGTAACCAAGGAAGGACAAACTTTGAATAAAAGGCCTTCTCCAAGGCTGGGATTCAGAGCTCACCGGAGAAGGTGTGGTTGCAGCCCACAGTCTAGCAGAGACCTTTGTGTGTTGCCCAGGCTATAGCTAGTCTGCATTTGCTGGACAAGCAGGAAACTACTCTCTGGGGGTTGGCAGGCAGGCCTGAAGAGGAAATGGGGTGTTGGGATCCTGCTCATCGGCAGGGCAGTGTATACCGTGGCGTGTGCAGAGTGTGTGTCTGGTGGGCTTTGGAAAACAACTTACAGAGTGCAGGCAGGTTGGGGCTGGCGTTAGGCACACAGAGTGAGGGAGGGCCTTGGAAACCTACGTGTGGGCAGAGTGCCAAGGGGCCTGGGATGCTCAGTGTCCATGTTGGGAGGGCCACGTGAAGTGATCACCAGTCCAGGCAAGGCTACAAGCTTGACAAGAGACTGCATCCTGGGTGTGCTGCTGGGGAGAGTACCACTGGATATCCCAACACATGCCCCAGAAAAAGCAAATGTTTCTGCCGTTGTGCCTGCTAGAAGCTTTCCTAGCTTTGCATGTGGCCACATCACCTGGTGCTCCCTTCTACAGGTGGATCTTCTTGGTAGAACCTCAGTGCAAGGTCACCAGAGTGGGTTTCTAGTTTGGATTGTCATTCCGATTTTCAAGGCACAATAGCTTTAGCCAGCACAGTGTTTACTGAGCTTTAGAAAGGATCCAGAAGAGAGAGTGCCCAGAGCAACAGCATCACAGAGGCCTTGGGTGCAGCTTCTGACATCCCCAATCACATGCATTGGGTATGTTTTGGTCACATGAAATGAAAAGAAGCTGAAGTGAACGTGGACCATGTCAGCATAAGGAAGCCACAGGGTTTAGGATCCCTGAGCCTAAACACTTTGCTCACCCCCTGGCCCCTACTCTTTATTGCAGCTACAGTCCATGAATGACAGATTATACAACAATCTCGACAACTAGGTACAGCATACTTGGAAACATTTGTGGATCCCTCATTTAACCCCAATGGATATTTCAAAAAGTTTAACTAAAGCTCAAACTCTGCTCAAGCGTCCCTGAAGCTGGAGTGAGATTTATAGTCCAGCTGTTCTTTCCTTTCACCAGGTCACGTGTAGAATCCTGGCTGAAAGGGAGCCTGGCAAATGCAGTTTTTAGCCACTCCAGCATCTATAGTTCAGGAAGCCAAACAAGGAGAAAGTTGGAACAGATGCTGTGTGGACCAGAACACAGCATTACCACACTGTCTAACTGCGTAAAGAGAGTCGGGTGATGGACCTATAAAACCACCCCCCGAAGTTGTGACTTTGGATAAATCATACACTGACTTGAGTTTTCAGTTTCCTCTCTGCCACAAGAGAGATTTGGACTGTATTGCTTTAGCAATTAGTCTAACTGTAACATGTAATTCCATAATTTCAGGCAAATCTATTTCAAATTCGCTGAGCTTCAGCACCACAGACGACACATATAAATAGACTGCATAGCTGATGCCTTTAAATTGGAAATTCATCCAACGTCAGAACTTGAGCTCTTTCGTATCTTTTCGTATCTGTGCTATTTTCAGATTTGTGAAGTATTTTTAAGGGGACTTGTACAGTCAGTTGACTTTAACTCATATTCATAATATTTGATTTTATAAGCTTAAAATCTCTAAGGATATTTTAAATTATTTTGGACACATTTAATTTCTGGAAAATATGTTTATAAAGAAAATACATACAAATAAAATATTGTGTCAAGTGGCATTCATCAACTTTTGGGGTAAAAGTGAACCTCAATGGGACCTATGGGACCTACAGGCCTGATAAAGAGAAGTGTCAGATCATTACCTTCTAAGTAAAAATCCCCGAAGGAACTTTGGTATACATACAAACGAAACAAATCAGTGGTTGAATATCAACCATGTAACCATTTATTTACTACTTTGGGATCTTTCTCTTTGGCTTAGCTTTCCTCACAAATTTGTTTCTTAAACTCTTGCTATGCTGTAAGAATGGTAAAGTTCTATTTATCTCTTTGAATAATATAAACTTCAGAGAGACATTGAAGAGGCATAGTGGTTATAGAAGCAGAACTTGGAGATGCTTTGATTAATTAGAAATTAAAAATCTCACTGACATGTGATATTCACCTCACTGCAACAGTCATCAACAAACAAAAACAAAAAACCCAAATCAGTTAAGCATATTTTTATAAACTTAATGGGCCAAACAAAACCTAATGTGCCCAAGCCTAATGTGTTTAATGGTCCAGATTTCAGCAATAACTAAGAAGAGATCAAAAACCGAAACATACTTTGACAAATTATTTTGAATATTCGTCCAGGGGTAGTTTATCTTCTGCCTCTGAGAGTGGGATTGATTTTGGAAAATAATCAAATGTAGCCAATACAGTGGATAATTAATCTGACAGTATACTACACATTGCTTATTATTCAAAATGATAAATAGACTGATTTCCTGTGCAGTTGAAACCAGTTCTTTTGATGAGTGGGACCCGTAATTGAAAAAGCTCATACACTGAGAATTTTGTGTTCCTATTTTTGCTTTCACCATTCTTCACGTGCTACCTCTAATTCCTAGCTCTCTCAGCTTTGAAACTAGTAAGCTAGGTTATAATTTTTGAATGATCTACTTCTCGAAATGACCTCTCGCTCTTCTGGCTAGTTCCTTTTCAGTTTTATAGTAATAACATCCATGATGGAAGAGACCAGCACATGCTTCTACCTGAAAAGGTCTGAGAACCTTTATTGACTGGTTAATGGAGAGAATGTGGGGAAGCCAGAGGACCTGAGGCTCAGAAGAACCATTTGAAACCTTAGCACTCTCTGGGGTGAGTAATTACTAAATGAGTCCCTTTATTTGTTGACCTCCGTGACATAACAACAAATTACCAAACCTTCCTGAGGTCCACAGGTCTATTACTTTTACACTCAGAAAATGCTCAGTGATTCAGCTATTTTGGCTTCATCGAGTGTGGGGCTGAGCAAATATTTCATATTTTATGACTTTCACTCTAAAACTGTTACCGCAAAAACGGTCCTAAGACATAAAAGATGGCAAATTCATAATTGCATAGTGTCTTATCCCTAATAGATTAAAGGAAGGTCTGAAAGGGGGTGTTTCAAGATTGTATAAAATGAAAAGAGTGGGGTGAGTAGCACCAAAGAAAAGTGGCAACATAAATACCATTAGGGAGACTTAAAATGCAGCCCCAAAATAAGAGGTTGTGTCTGTGAAGATGATGGCAGCCAAGGAAAGATTCATAGGAAGAAGGTTTCTTTACCAATTGATTTCTGTTTAAGGATTGTCCTGATGTTTGCTTTGGTGACAGGAGAAAGACAGAAAGGGGTAAAAATTAGCAGAGAGATCCATTATTACTATCATGCCAGATAAAAAGTGACAGGACATTTGTCAACTAAGGAGTTAAAGTAAAAATAGGGACACTAACTCAACATAGTGGGTTCATGTAAGGAAAGTCACATAGCAAAAAATGAAACATTCAGACTCTGGGGTGATATTTGAGCAGCTGGGAAGGAATCTTAGAGTCAGGCTTGCTAGATTTAGTAACAACAACAAAAAAACAAATACAATGAACAAAGACAGGATATTCAGTTAAATTTGAATTTCAAATAAACGAAAAAAATTCTGTGTATGTGTGTAGTGCTTTTAGTCAGTCTCAATGGATATACTAAGTGAATCAAGTTTAAATGTATATCCTGTATGTGACATCAAAGAAACCCAAGGCAGTCCTAGGAAGGCATGGAGGCAGGACCGCACTGGGTGGGAGGAACCTGATGCTATGGCATTGACTTTGGCAAAGAGGGTAGGTAGCAGCAACTGAAAGGGGGCAAGAGGAGGAGCCCTTGGAAAATGCTAGGTTCCCCACAATCCTGATGTGTCCTGTCCTCCTTCACGGTGGCTATCCTACCTGGCTGGAGGCATAGAGGACAGGAGTTTTATATTAAGCATCTATATTAAATATCTCAAACTCAAAATATAATTGAGACTGGGCAGTCATCAAATGTTTGTGAAGCCAAGTGGCTGTTCTCATCTACTTTTCTGCAAACATGAAGATTTTTCTGGTCTATCTTTCATTTTCTTATTTTTGACAGGACATGAGTACCAAAAAATATTTTTCTTTCAGAAGAAAAGATAAGTGGCGGCTGTTGGGGAGACAAAAGGATATGGCGAGGACGATGGGGATCTCCAGCATGTGGGTCTTGTCAGAAGGGAGCGGGATCAACATCCATAGCATGTACAATACAAAGAGTAAACCCCAATATAAACAATGGGCTTCAGTTAATAATAATGTATCAGTACTGGCTCACTGATTGTAACCAATGTCCTACACTAATGCAAGATACTTATAATGAGCAAAACTGCATGCAAGAGGGTACAGGTGGGAACTCTACTTTCTGGGAAATTTTTCTGGAAAGTGTCTTAAAATGTAAAGTGTACCATTTTTATTTTTTAGATGTTATTGGGCCAGGTATATAAAAATAAAATAATAGAAATACTATGTATATACATGACAGCATTAGTGAAACATGGTGTGACATAGTATTTTCCATTCAAAGCTTATAGTAGAAAAATTTAGTAAACCAAACCTCCTGTGTCCCTTGCTACGGTGGCTAATTAGAGCCTCCTCAGTCACTTATTTTCCTTCATGTCCTGTTAAAGTATATCAATTTTTAAAAATGAGTTTTGCTGCTAGAAAATCTTTGAAATTCACTGTGGATTTTTTTTTTTTTTTTTAATTTTAAGTGAGAATAGAAACTATCTGAAGATTTTAAGTTGACCAGGTAATTTCACCATTTATTTTGACTTAGCATTTGGAAGAATGGGATTGTTTTCCTGAAGAATAGATCATAATGCCAGTAAATGGCTTAGCCTTGCTACTCAAAAGATGGTCTGCTGACCCGCATCACCCGAGCGTGTTAGAAATTCAGAATCCCAGGCCCCTACTGGAGTGTGTTGAATCTGAACCTGTATTTTAACCAGATCTTCAAGTGGTTTCCATGCGCGTTAAGTTTAAGAAGCATTAGTATAGCAGTTAGAAATATGGATTATGACATCGGATGGACGTGGTTTTGAGTCTTATCTGTCATACTCTTTCTTCTAACTGGGCTCCTGTGGGCAAGTTACCTAACATCTTTAAGCCTGTTTTCTTATTTCCAACATGATGGGAGTGAGAATACCTGTCTCAGAGGGTTATAGGAAGATGAAATGAGGCCATGCTTGTAAGGATCTTAGCATGTACTTGGCAAAGAGAATGTTGTCATTATGGGCTAATTATTGTCATCTATAGCAACATCAATGTTAGCAAACACACCCAGGAAGAATTTGAACTTCTTGTATTAGAGTTTGCCTTTTTAACTTCCAAGATTATATATGTATGTATGTATGTATGTTTGTATGTATGTATGAATATTTATTTATTTTCCTAAGGATGAAAGGAGGGAAATATGAGACAGAAAGAAGAAAGATCTATGCCTTAAAGTAGGGCCCTAACCTTTTTTGGCACCAGGGACCGGTGCTCCTATGAGAATCTAATGCCTGATGATCTGAGGTGGAGCTGAGGCACTGATGCTAGTGCTGGGGAACAGCTGCAAATACAGATGAAGCTTCACTTGCTTGCTGGCAGTTCACCTCCTGCTGTGCGGCCTGGTTCCTAACAGGCCATGCATAGACTGGTACAGTCCACGGGGTCAGGAACTCCTACCTTAAAGGAATAAGCATGCAAAAGTCGCTTCTCAGATAGCTGGATTCTTTCTTTCTATTTGTGGAAATAATTGGCTTTGTTCTCCTGGAGCTCTGCATAAAAACCAAGTGAATCAATCTGCTATGGATTGACACCATGTAAATGAATTCATTTAGCTCTCATTTAGTTCACATGACTTGTTAGCTACTCACTCTGACTTTCCTTTCACACAGAAAGAAATATCAGGGCCCTCTTCTAGTTCTATTAGCAGCAAAGTCCCCATGTGTCTCAGCATTGGAACCTGTTCCCTGGCACTGGTTCTCTTTTGGATCCTACTATTACTAGAAGATATTTTATGCTAAAATTATTTATTTTAAATGTTTGTTTGTTTATTTAATGGTGACATTGGTTAACGAAATCCAGTAAGTTTCAGCTGTGCACTTTAACAGTAAGGCATACATGTATATATACATATACATATATATATATATTTACACTGCGTGTTCACCTCTCATAGTTAGATTTCTTTCTGTCACCACATATTTGACCCCCTTTATCCCATCTACTTCCCCCCTCCCCCTACCCTCTGGTAACCACTAGTCTATAATTTCTTTAAGGTGGGCAGTTTAGGAGGTGGAATTACATCTCATCTAATCCAAACTCAATTATAGGAAAGGTATTTACATTAATCAATAATTTCTTTAAGGTGGGCAGTTTAGGAAGTGGAATTACATCTCATCTAACCCAAACTCAATTATAGGAAAGGTATTTACATTAATCGTGCCTCTTTTATTCTCTGTATGTCTAATGTTTTGATATCTTGAGGCCTGCTGACTCTGGAAAATCTCTCCCTCCAAGGGCTAGCCAGTTCCTACATACAGTAAACAGTAACCCCATGAATGTGCCTTTTAAATGCAAACCAGCCAGTCCAGAGATCACACTCATTCTCATCTCCTCTATCCGGCTTTCATACACTGGGCCACACTGTCCACCTGCCCTAATCACCCCAGGACCAGGTTCCAGACAACTAGGGACAGCACCTACACTCCAGAATCCACTGAAATTATTCACACTAGCCAGTCCTAAGCCTGCTCACCTAGCCTTGCCTGTTCCTTCCCACAGAAACCACAACAAAGATCTTTGTCCATGCTTTCCTCCTGCTCCCTCAACCTCCCGACCAAGCCTGGTGCTTCCCCACATGGCCCCATGGTGTGGCATGCCCACTTATCTTGGGAAATGTGATATACTATGTATTCAGTGGCAATTATCTCCTGATTTATTGGCCTCACCATACCTGAGTAATAATAAAACCCACATTTTTAAAACAGTGCTTTTAAATGTGTTTTACAGAAGACTCTATTTGACAACAGAGTAATCTGTTCCGTGCAGCCAAATGAATACTTGCTGTAATAATAGAAGTCAGGGGGAAGGATTTTTAAAATTTACAGAATACATGATGAAGTCTATCAGAGAGAATAGGGAGCTGAGAAGGTCATGTAACTCAGTATAGATTGGGCTGGAGCTTGCTGTGCCACTAACATTAAGCCAGGACAAAAGAAAGCTCACGTGTTTCCTGGAACTGCAGTACCCTTGTCTGAGGAGCGAGGAAGAAAGCTCGGGAGCAAGAGAAGTAAACAACTCTACTCAAAGAACAACACAGCGCTTGATGGACGACCAGAGCTATGCTCTGATAATTCTACTATAACTTTCTGGCCAAATCTACTGGAAACTGGGATTCTTAACTCTTCTAATCTTCTATAATCTTACGATGTGCGAAGAAGGGAAAAACTCAGTTCTCTTGAACATGAAATGAGGCTCATCATTTTTTTTCTCATAACATTTCTAAGATACATAAAATAAATTAAATCCTAGACCCTGAGGCAAGGGTTTATTTGGGAGGTGATTCAAAGAGGTATGGTGAGGGGATGGAGAAGTGAGATGGGGACAGAAAGAGAGACACCAACACTCACAGTGATGAGAGGTCACTGCCGTGGGTGACTGGGCCGTGTCTGCTGGGGCTTCTAAAAGAAGGTGTAGAAAAAGATCCTGAGAATTGTCTCTCTGAGGTTTGGGGAATAAGTATTTTCTCAATAACAACCTTCTTTCATTGTTTAAGGGGCATCTCAGGGCCCTTCTAGTCCCTTGTGCAGGCTGAAGAATATAATTTTTGCTGCCAGAAAAGCCCTCAGTTAGAGAGATGAAAAGACGACAGTGGGGTGTGAGGGAACTGCCTGAAGATGGTGTCCCTAATGGCCTGAGTGGGGGGTGGCAATCTGTCTGGGATAAACAGGCTTAAAACTCGTCACTTTAAAATGTAAATTAATGTACAATTGTTTTGAATAATTATAGTACTCCATCTTATTAGAATATAAATATTCATTATATATATTTGCACACACAATATTATATATTTTCATATATCTTTTAAACACGATGCATTGCCAAGTTATTTTCCATTCAGATCTCTATGGTAGATTCAAAAATTATTGAAAACCATTGGCTGAAGACTAGCAACCAAACACTAGCATGATATCTGAGTCCCTCATAATCTCCCCAGCTTTGTCTTTCCCCTCCATGTCCTGTCCCTCATGTGATTATCCAACAGGAAAAAATCCTTATAGTGTTGTTTCATACTCCCTTGTGACATGCTGGTTCCTCTTCCTAGACTGTTTTTTCTGCTTAATAACTTCATCCTACAAGGCCCAATTTAGTCACCTTATCTTCTGTGCAAACTTCCCTGGCCGTCTACTGCCAGTAGTTACTCCCTACTTTGTTCTACTGCTACATCTCGAATGCATTTTTTTTTTTTTTGCTTATATCTTATTCTGTAACTATTGATTTATATATGCTTCCCCCATTAGACTGCATGATTGTCCACATTTTATATAATTTATATCCCCATCATCTACCATGAACTTGACACATGATAGGTACTTAATGACTATTATTTAACTAAATTGAACTATATTTTCTTGAATCTTTGTAACAAGCTACATTGCCACAGTTAGGTAGGTAAATTTATTCAGGCTTATAAAGCCAAGGTCAAAAGAAGCGAATCTTTTTTTTCCATTGTCGTATGTAGAGTTTGGATTTAATTCTAAAAGCAAAAGAAAGCATTGAAGGGCTTTAAGCAGAGGAGTCACATGATCCAATTTGCATGCTAAGTATATCACTCTGGTATGCTTTCATTTCGATATTAAAGAAAGCTTTGTTCATGGGCGCTGAACCGTTTATACCACACACATTATGCAAAAACAAGTCCACATTATTGAAATCGTCAAGAATGATTAGAAAGAGCAATTTAAATGTGCCACTGTTGTATTCTCCCATTTGTGAATTTTCTGTTTGGAACTCACGACCCTCCCAAAATAATATTTCAGCTAAAACTTAGAAGCATGTCCTTTAAGTCATTGGCAGAAAACCTAATGACAGTTCACAAGGTAAAATGTCTGTGATGTCCTAGTGATAAACTTGTTGGAAGTTTAAAAAATGGGCAGGGTTCTTTTTATTGTGTGTTTTTAGGGCCTCCGGCAGGCTCTGCCAAATGAGCTAAACAGTGAGATGATGGCCTGATCCAATCTTCCCATCCCCAGGAAGGTGAACTAAAGTGTTTCTAAAGCCAGAAAGAACCTCTTGATCCTCCAAGTCTAAAGTCACCTGTCTAGCGTTCCCCACTCTGTGACTGTCTCTTGAGCGAATGCCTTTCTAGACCTCTTATTCCCTAGCAGTTGCCTGGGCTTAGACACACCCACTGGAACAATGCCTGAAACACCTGGCATTGACTGGGATTTCAGAATGAAAGCCATTCTTCAAGGAAAGCTG